GTGGTTGTTGCGGCTGAGGTTGCGACCGCTGCTGCTGCTGCTGCTGCTGCTGCTGTTGTTGTTGCTGCTGCTGCTGATGTTGATGCGCGATCGCAGCTTGCGCCGCTTGAGCCTGAGCCAGTCTAACTTTCATAAGATCGGGGAATTGATGTTGATTTTGTACAGGAGAACTGTTAGGTAAACCGGAAGTACCATTTGAGGTTGGGAATTGACTAGTTGTTGCGGACGTAGTAGTTGTCGTTAAACTTGCTTGTGACATTTGCGGTTGCCCGAAGGGACTGAGACCAGGATTTGGAACGACGTTGGGATTGGATGTCGACTGTCCATTCGGACTAGGACCCGGTGGACCAACTAAGATTCCTTGTTGCTGCTGCTGTTGTTGCATTTGTTGTTGGACTTGTACCTGAGCCTGAGCTTGAGCCTGAGCTTGGGCTTGAGCTTGCGCCTGAGCCTGAGCTTGGGCGTTGGTTTGAGACTGAACCTGTTGTTGTTGTTGCGCTTGTTGTTGCTGAGGAAACTGCATTCTATTGTGCGGAATGCCCATTGTAGGTAGACTTCCAAGTTGTCCCATACTTGGTGAGTGACTACGTAAACTAGGGGTAACTGTTCCAACTGGTCGCGAAGGAGGAACAGTACCGACACCTGGAGGAGCACACGGCCTTAAACCCGGACCAGATGTTCCAGATGGTTGAGGTTGTTGTTGTTGTTGTTGCTGTTGGGCTTGTAACTGTTGTTGTTGTTCTTTCCGCTTTTGTCGTTTCTCTTCCAATTCTTTCTGAATTTTATATATTTTCTCGGCAAGTAAATGATAATATTCTGATCTCGAATTAGCCATTTCGTACATGTCACCTTCCACTTTCCTTGCGTACGCGACGAGATTGTGCATTCTTTTATCGAGCATAGCTTGTGGATCGGGTGTTGGAAATATTGCTTGAACCAATTTATGAACAAGATGATTTCTAAGATCTGGTGTTACAGTTTGATGCCAATCTTTTGATTCTCCTACTACAGCTGTCGCTGTTACTTGACCTGGTTGAAGTCCAGGTGGAAGCTGAAGGTTAGCTAACCTATTTTCAGTTGAAACACTAAGCTGACCTGAATCGTTCAAACCAAATAATTGCTGCATATTAACAGACTGTACATTTGCAGCAGTCGCTGCTACAGCAGGCGTGGGACCACTGGTAGGCGCTGCTTGGTTAACAGCCACTCCGACTGTGTTAGGATCAGAATTTAAAGGAAGAGACACATTTGGAGCAACTACTTGCTGCCCGGTACCCACGACAGCTTGACCCGGAGCGGCTTGAGTTTGAGGTTGAGCTAGTCTAACGTTTCCTATCGTACCGGGTGCTCCTTGCATGCCTGGTGCTGGCATTCTTCTAGTAACACACTGACTGCCTACCAAACCTGGTGTTGTTGTAGGACATTGAATACCCAACGCATCGTACGCTCTTCTCATTTCAGTCGGACTCGGATTTGGTTGACTATTTGGTTGTGTTGTAGACGCTGCAGCAGCATTTGTTGTTTTATTCTTATTTGCTTGCTTCAGAGGTAAGCACACAGGGCAATCATTGCGGTTGCAGTGTTTCCAATGACTAATAATCTGTCTTGAGGAGCTACAGTGTGCCACTGTACAACTTTTCCCTGCTTGACAGGCAGTCATATGAGTCAACACATTCTTCATAGTTTTACAATCTGGCAAGGAACACTGCCAAACATCACCATTTGCTTGACTTTCACGTCTTTGACATTTATGCGCATGAAGCAGGAGAACTAGCTGTTGTTGAATAAGTTTGCGCTTTTCTGGATCAGCAGTTGATTTTGTAGCACCTAATAATATGTAAGCCTTACTTAGCTAGATTCATTTGACGATGAGGTAATTTTATTTAATAACAAAAACAGATACTTACCAGTTGGAGCACCGGTACCGGGTATTTGGCCCTGAGTAGCTTGTTGTGGGCCAGGTTGTCCCCCACTTGGTGCACCAGACTGAGGTTGAGCTGGACTTGGAGCAGGTGGTTGAGCCTGTTGTGCCATACCACCTTCTTGACCGCCCACAACATTCGTGGAACCGATGGGACCCGCGGTTCCTCCAAATCTACCAGTTTGCATAGCAGTCATATTTGTTCCCACTCCTTTTTGTTGTGGTGCAACAACCCCAACAGGACTGTTAGTACACACTGTAACTCCAGGCCCTTGTCCACTGGCTGGAGATCCTGTTCGAAAATTTAGTATTTAAGTATATACTAAAATCTGTCAACTACATATATCCTTGATATAGTTACCATAACCATAAGGACTCGATGCACCAATTTGCCCCATATTTGGCATATTTGTCATATTTGGAGGAGCCTGCATTCGTGGACCTCCTTGACCAGGACCAACAATACCAACTTGATGTACTTGCTGATGTGGACTTTGACCCCTTGCTGGACCAACCATATGCGCTTGTTGTTGCTGTTGCATTGCTACAGCTCTAGTATTCATTATTCCAGGTCCATTTTGCATTTGAGCAACACCATGTGGCCCACTGGGATGATGAATTCCTTGAGTATTAGGGCCCATCATAGTTACCTGAAATATAGAATCCTTAGATTGTATATGCCATAAAAATCATGTTATACTTGTATAGATTCAGATTTAAATGAAACTTACAGTATTTAAAGGTTGTTTGTTCAAACTGTTGGTTACAATTAAACTTCCACCTGCCATTCCACCCATGTTATTATTTCCACTAGCACTGCTGGTCATAACTAAGCCAGAATTTATTCCACCTGGCATTGACATGGTAGGATTACTTCCAGCCATGCTCATTGATGATTGAAGGCCTCCCATCGAATTTGCAATAGACATTTGATTATTTGCCAAAGAACTGGCTATACTGCTTGGTAAATTTCCCAGACTCACGACCATTTGTGGATCAACTACTTTAGAGACAGAAACATTTGGTGGAGATTGCATGTTCGGACTTTTATTACCCAAAGTTCCAACAGCCATTACTAAAGAATTAGTAACTAAATTTTTGTTGCCCTGTATCAACAAAAATGAGAGTTATGTGGTAAAAAAACATATTTCTTCTATACATATACTAAATATATATTGTTCTTATATACGAACTTGTTGTTGTATTAGATGATGTGAAAGTTGTTGTTGTTGTTGCTGTACATGTTGTCTAAGTTCTGAATCAAGGGCACCATTTTGCTGCCCTGGACCTGGGCCTGTTGCTGGTGGCTTAGCACTTTCCGTTGCAGAACCCCAAGACCCCGATGACAATAGATCGTCAGGTAGATCATTTTCAAGATCAAACATATCTGTGTTTGTTATGTAATCTGAGAATAAACATTTGCATTAGTAACGGTTTTTTGGTATGGAGAATGCTGTAAAAGATACTGGTTACTACAAAAGTAAACTGTTGAGGCCTAATCATAAATGCTACACCTTGGTAAAGAAATTGGACATTTTCCTAAACTACAGAATTTATAAAGGGAGTTCAACATCATGAGACTGAAAAATTACTTTTCTAGATAACCAGTTTAAAAAATCAACGTCAGATTATGATATTAAATGTAACATATATACCATAGAGACCAAAAAACCATTAGTAATAATGTAAAGATAAGATTCAGCACCGTCACCATAGCTTCTATCCAAAGATTTAATAGTAAAATCTTCATACTACCGTGTACTATTTGATGCATGATGTATAATATACCTGCATGTAAATATACATGCACATATATGCACACATGCACACGCTTTTTGACATTTATGTACATATCATGTTTTAAATTACAGAAAGTTGCATTTATTCAAATTACACTAATGTACAGTGTTTAAAATACATTTGTCATATAAAAGTATCTTTTAACTTACTTGACTATCCATGATTGACCATACAACAACGGAGAAAAAAGGGGTCAAATGCAAATTTAAAAAAAAATAGAAAAAAGAAAATAAAACAATAAGAAGATTCTACATCAAACTACATGTAAATATAAACAAACAAATACATAAATAAATAAGACATGAGACATACACTGTGTGAGCATAACTTAAAGGAGTTTATACTACAGCAGAATTAAAATTTCTTCACAATAAAGACGTGCTAAATAAACTACAAAAGCAGCAAAGCTACTGATGGCAAACTTTAGAGTAGACAGTCATGCGAAGAAATCATAGTCACTCTAAAGAATATTTACAATTGTTTGTATTTTTTTTTTAATGCTGTAACATTAAAAAAAGTTTCTGAAACTCTTATAATAATGTGAATCATCATTTTATTTAAATTATGGTATCAATTACCTACATTGTATAAAAACATTTATATACAAGAGATCATAGTTACCTACCTAAGAACCTAGTTCAATTTTATTTCAATAAAAACATTATCTCATTTTGCTTAAAAATTTATACATATTAAATAATACAGTTTCACCCTAGTGTAAAGTTTTAGAGCTCTGTACATGTGTGTCGCATGTCCATGTTACATTTATCACTTATAAAAGCATTCAAAGCTCACAGCATATTTATTTAGATTCTCACATTGTATATTGAACTAAAATGTGTTTTTCTAGAATACTCAGAGTGATCCAATTTTTCTCCAGTATCTTATAAAGAAACAAATCTTTCTCAATTATACAGCAATACATTTCTTGTATTTATTTATCTTAATCTTCCATAATACAAGTAAACAATGTAATACTATTGTTTATTCTGGGTTTTACAAATAGCAACAATGAATTAACTTTATTGAACCATAGTGACAATATGCCAAAACTATATACACTTTCTGAAGTACACAAAAATTGATGAATTATTTTAGCAGTAAATTATGACATAAATTGGAAGTAATTGAATGATTTTACAACTTTATGATACTAATAAATGAGATGAATGGACAGACAAACAAATTCTGTAGTGCTGGACTTAGTATTTTTGAACTTTTTGCTGGGTTTTGTAATAATATTTACTTCTTTTCTGGACGGTATGGTTGTTCCAATGTGGCTGCAGCTGATGCTGTTGCAGATGTAGCTGTTGTGGCGGGCCCTGCATTTGTTGCATGTTACCACTGCCACCTCCCCCGTAGTTTGTATAAGCATGGTGCATCATTAGAGGCGCCATACCCACTACATATATCACAGTTTTTATTTCAGACTATGGAAAAACTGTCTATGCTTTCTGGATCACAGCTTTTAAGCAGCAGAAACAGCCTAAATTTTGTTTAAATAAAACTAATGGGTACAGTTGATTTACTATGTACAATCCCAAGTAAGAAAGACTATGTCTGCCACTTACTTTGTGTAACCTGACTAAATCTTGCGATTTATACATCAAGTATTTAAGTGACACAGTCATTATTGATTTGATATAGGATTATATGAAATATTATTGAGTTCAGAAACTGTTAAGGTGATCAGGTAGGCGCTTAAAGAAAATAAGAATAAGGAGATGATTAGCGCATCAATCATGCCAGCATAATGTCTTTTTTTTAATAATTATTCAAACTTCCATGCATTTGCCATGCACTACAAAAATAAAATGAGGGCTAAATTTAAAGATATCTAAAAGAATTTACATACTATTATTTTGTTTAGGTTAAATTTAAATAAGAGAAAGAACGTGCAACAAGACAGAAGTTATAGATTATTTAGATACAAACAATTACTTTTCAAACACGGAATATGTTTCTATAACCTCTGAGCAAAATTGATACACTATATGCAAATTGCCTGTTGTGTGAGATGAAACAATTCTCTCATCAAACAAACTAGTTTTTATTAACTAAATCCTGCACAGAAATGAAGTATCATATCATAATATTCCAGACTAAAGAGTTTCTCCTCACAATTTTTATCAATGGCAGTACTATGTTATAACAGAACACACCACTGTTTCACAAGTATCACTTTTTATTTATATGATACAATGTTTAATGTAAATTCACTGGAATAACAAAAAGTTGGTAAGATTATTTTAAATAATTTTTCTCACATGGGTAGGTAGTACACGTTACACAATTCGCAATATAGTGTAATTTCCGCGACGGTATTTCTTGAATAATTTAGGTTAGTTTATAAACAGTTAACTAATAGCCAAATACAATCCTGATCGTTACACACGAGAAGTAAAGCGAAGAAAGCTAACTGTCGACGATCTTAGGATATGCTGAATACAGGGCCCTGTCAAAAGGGTGACACTTGTAACGCAAAAATGAAACAATCAGCTACAACCACAGCAGTCTCCTAAAAGTTCAAAAACAATATATAAAAAAAAATCGTGAATGAAAGAATACCGTTTGGATCTATTGGCATCGAATAAAGAGAATCGGCGGAACGACGACAATTAGAAGGGTGCATATTCTTAAGAAAAACCGAAACATCGACATGTGGTAATTTTGCTCAAAGGTTCTACCCGTCAACGAATTGACAGTACGCCTTTGATAAACGGCGGGCATATTTTTCTCAATAACAAGAAAGATATGTATGTGCACATCGCGTAATTAGAAAAGAACGCGTTTATGTGCTCTACTCGCGACGTTTATCCCCTGAAAGGTTAGTCGCGTTATTAGCGCGACCCTGACTGAATCGAGAGCAAAGTATCGCGAGGAAAATTGAAGTTATGTTAACTTACCCGCGGAGTCCGAAGTCCCTTGAAAAGGATCCCCGAGCTTCTGCCGCTTATTCGGCGGGCCGTCCACCAGGTGGTCGGCCATGGTTTCTTTTCAGGGTTAATTATTTCTTCTTTCAGGCTGTTTACTCTCGGTAGCAAAGTAAGCGGCGGCGGCGGCGGCAGCAAGTCGGGACGACCGCACGCACGCACGCACGCAGGCAGGCACGCACGCAGGCACGGATACACGGGTACACACACGGGCGAAACGCTGCACTACGCTACTAGAAGATCGCTGCTGGTGCTGCTGATGCTGATGCTGTTACCGCTGCTACTGGTGCTGCTTCCTCCTTGTCGGTGAAGCCGCAAAAATTCACCAAGATCTTCTTAGCATATTCGCAGGCATGACAATAACAATGAGAACCGCGGCGCGTGGAGCGTCCCCGAGCACGCTTCGGTACACGATCAACCATTGGGCATCGTCGGGGGTACGTCGAACCCCGCGCTAAAGCCCACACACACAGTAAATTTTTCGAGACGGGCGCAAGGGCCACTCGCGCGTGGACGGGACAGGCCGAGAAGTTAACAGAACTATCAGTATCGCAATCACCGAGGAGTCACCACTTAGGCTAAATGCACTACACACCACCGAACGAGTCCTCACGTTATATTCGGTTTAGTCGGTCGCACACGACTCGTCAAACACTCGAGTGTGGCGGACTGGCTGCGCGCACGGCGCTACCTCGCAGCAACGATATCGCTCTCGAGGCCCGCTGGCACCATCTTCCTCTCCTCTTCTCTCGCCTTGGCACACTGCGACACGGGGCGCGCGAACGATCACCGCGGACGCGGCTCGCTTTCCCCACACATTCGAGGCAATCACGGACGCCAGGAGGCGAAGACGATCAAATGAGTCGGCTCCGGGGCGGCCACCGCGCGCCACAGAAATTCGCTCGGGAAAAGCGATCGCGAGAGTTCCGCACCGCACGAGTATCGGCTAACGTAAAATGGCGGCTGCTGTTGACGAGAAGTTTTTCTACGCTTGTCAGAAAATGTCCGACTGGCTCCGTATAGTTGCCGTGACAGTAGACTGACCGTTTGATTGGCCCGTATCGTCACGTGACTCCACTATGCCTCGCGATTGGTCGAGCTGCTGCGAGGCCACGAACGCCGTGGTTATGTTCACGCCGCCGGCCCAACAGCCACGAGAATTTCGTTTATTCCTCTGCCGCCATTTGATAAAGGCCGGTCTTGCATAGTGGTTGTAAGACGCTCTTTGAATTAAATTCATTTATTGGTAGGACGGTCCGTTCGTAGGAAAGTTTAGCTACACGATTTACATGGCAGGATACTTTTAATAATATATCACGCTATACTACGCTTCAGTGGTGTTTAGATTTTGATAAACTGAAAAAGAGCCTAGCCTAATTGTTTTCTGTTGCCGGAAAACATCGAGACAGTGGTTCGCGCGATTTGCTATTTTGTATTTTCAAGATAAATTCATTGAAACCTTTGTCCTGTACATTATGCTATGTATATATACCTTAACCATTATTTTATTATATGCCTATATATTAGGTATAAACCTCGTAACATTCATTATAGTGCACCGTAAGTAAAACGTTTGCAAACGTCGTATGTACTGTATATTCTACGTACGTGACGTCTTTGTTTAAATAAAATTGATGATTTACAATACGTTCAATTATACAACTAATTGTGCCTGCTTAAAATGATCTTCAAAATTTTTGCTAGTGTTATGTAATATTATCGATCGGGTCATTATTATATTCATAAATATCGTAGGAATTTTCGTACAGTAGTTGATAGATAATATCTCGTGTATTATTCTTGTAAAATTATGATTGAAAATATTCGTTTCGATACAAAGTTGGAAACATTAACCTTCAAAAATTTTTTCATATGATTCTCGCCGATTGAAATATATAAATTACATACATCCATTCACATCAATCATCACATTACTTTCTCTTTTTAATTACAAACGTATTCGCTCAATTATGTTCGTAACGAACAATCGAAACTTATATGTCTTTTTCTAACAAAGATCCGTATACAGTCGTACTGTGTTACTATGAACATCGGGAAAAAAAGCATTGAAAATCGTGCTTGCTAGTGCATTTAGAGAGTTAAGAATGTCAAAGGGATGTTGTTACAAGATGGCCAGGGATTTCTCGATCGACAGGTTAAAAGGAAGAATGCATAGAAGGTGGGGAGATTGCGTTGCGCAGTACGTCCTCTCTTCGAGAAAGAGAATCTGACTCGTGGATAGGTGCGAACGGCACGCGACTCGCTGCACGCATATAATGTGCGTGAACTTGCTTCCATCTCCCTTTTCCTCCACCTTTCTTTCTCGCTCTCTATTTCTCGCTCTTTCAGTATGCGTTTGTCGTGCGCGCGTGCGCGCGTGCGTGATAGTATCAGATACAGAGAATTGTGTAAAGAAAGAGGTGTACGCGAGAAGAGGGAGTATTGGAAATGGGACGGGAACTGGATGACGGCGTGGCAGCAGCCACCTAGCCACCCATCTCAGTGACAGCGGCTCTTTGTGGAGTGTTACTAGTCATTTGCTTCGCGTTATTCTCTTCAACTATGCGATCTTATAATTCCTTGGATAATCTCTTAGTAACACGTACATGTACGATGAATGTTTCTTTATAGGAATTTTTACGATATCGAATATTCATTATCGTTCCTAGTTTTGGGTTAAGATACGTTTCCGAACTACCAGATGTATCTCGTATGTTGTAATCTTTCGAATATTTTCTCGATTCATTCAGATACGTACAAAGATGTTCCGTACTTTCGAACTAAGTATCGTTACCGAAGGATTTTTCAAAAGGGTTCTGTATACGGACAGAAAGAAGGAAATTACGGTAGATAAAAAGAAATCATGAAAATCTGTTGATAGTCTTTATATGAGTGTTACGTAACTGCTCACTAGACAAAACGCTGCAGTGTTTAACGATACTATCCTATTAGATTTTTTCTTCGCAATTTATGGTTTAATTAGGCACAATTGACGATTGATTTGTCATTATATTATTTTTATAGCGTTTCATAATGCAAGAAAATAGTCGGTTACCATAAGATTACGGTATTCCGTGTAACTGCGTACACCGATCGTATGTTTCTATGACGGAGTGGAAATAAAAATATCTATGAAAGGTGCATTGACCGATCTCTAATATTGGCTAGCACATTAATCTGTTTAAAAAAATCGATTCGAAGTGAGCAATACGGATTAATGGATATTAGTGTTGCATTTCGATTATTACAAACCGAATGGGCTATTTTCACGCAAGCTTGAGTCACTGATATCACCGTCGTTGTCTACCATGATAACGGACGCAGTTTTCGTAATCTTACCGTCGATACGACACGATTCTATCCCATATTATTTGTAATAATTACAAATTTGACTTAACGTACGTACTAATATTAATAAAATACTTCTATAAAGATCAATTTTAAAAGTACGTTAAGGTGCAGGGAAGTATGCTTTCTTTTTCGATTAATCGACGCAAAAGTTTTGGTTACTCAATGTTAATCTATTGATTATGTACTTACCCGTGTAACAAAGTAATTATAATGGGTTAAAGAAGCAAGGTCATTTCTTGAATTCCGATAGCCGGTACTGTTCGTAATTTCTCTTACTGAAAATTTAAACAACGCTTACCTCTTTCACGAGTTGCATTACTAATATTTTTTTTTTATACAGTTACAAAAACGAATAGTAACAATAAAAAGCCGAACAATCGACGGTAAGTATTTTTTATAAGTATTAAGCTGGGGTTTTACTTTAATACAATGACATAGAGCCACCGAAAAAGAGAATTTAAGTTGTACATCTATTTAAAGTAACTCAACAATTACCATGAGTTAGAGAAGCAAGGTCGATTGTGTTCAAATCGTTTCAACGTCATTCCTTCCAAAAAAGACTACTAACAACTTGAGATAAACGTCCAGCCAACTTACGATCGTAAATCAAAGACCCTTGCCATGCTTGAATATCCGTCTCGAGGATGCATCGAGAATACCTTTCTTCTTTACAAGAAGAAAACATGTTTTAAGTACACAGTATTGAAACTTTGGTTTCATAGCGCTTAACGGAACCAATATGAACCGTACGTGAGAAAATATACTCTTTGAGTAATTATCCTATTCTTCGTTACTTTAATTAGACCTTTTATTAAAACAATAAATTATTTTGTATTTTTAGTGTGATGCAATTGATAAAACGTATTGTTAATTTTTATAAATAAATGAATTCACTTTTTGTTTTTTTTTTTTACATTTTAGAAAAAAATTACTTGTTAAAAATTTTAATTAAAAGAAAGAAAATTTCTTTCTCGTCTTTATGCGAAACAACCCTATACGAAATGGTACGTAAGTACACATATCGTGTTACAAATTCGAAATATTGTTGCAAACTATTACTTATGTATTCAATGGACCTTTTATAATACCATTTCATGTCAGTATATTGATAAAATAAAATTGAACTTTTATTATAGTAAAAACAACTTTGAACAATACACACGAAATTAAAACCGTTACTTCGTACATTTTTCTGTGAACTGTTCATTGAACGTTTAACAGATGAACAATAACATCATATACATAATGCATTCAATTTATGAAAACCAATTACATGCTTTCACTGCTTAGAATAACCAAGAAATACACCACACAAGGGGGTGGGGTAAATTAAGTACAAATGAGTGAAAGGACTTGTTTGAAAGGAACGGTATTTTTTTTAGATACAATCAAGAATTAATATCTTCTTTTGGTATCGTATATAATAGTAGGTTACCCAAACCTGCACCTTACAAACTGTCCACTCGCTCTTCGATAATAATAGAAAGTACATTTCAATACCAATGCATAACATTTTTTATAAATAATCTTACATAAGATTTCAATTTATCGGTATCTGTAATAATTAACATACGATCATATCAATTTTTGAATGTTTCATTTAATGAAAAACGCACAATACACGTGGATATGAAGTAACATTTCAAACAAATTATCTTGAAATAGTCATAGGAATAAAACACTTCGTTAATAATTAATAAATCACATATACAATACGTAAAAATGTAAGGCATGTTTGTATACAGTAAACTTTATTTAATTTGGTCGAGTACTTGATTAAAGTTTCAATCTGAGCAAAACATTTTTGTACGAATTAGAGTGACAAATATATAAAAATATGCATATGTTTTTTTGTTATTTAGAGAGTGGAATATTAATAAAATTAGCGATGCGAATGTATGCAAAAAACTCATTATTATGTTATGACTATATCACTGAAAGAGATTCAGTAGATATGATCTGTACGTATTACATAAAGAAATGCCGTTCCTTTAATAAGATTGCTCTTTCAAATTAAAATTTCAAAAAACGATCATTGCATACAAATACAAAGTATTCATAATTTAAGATTGTTACAAAACAAATTACAGATATTTCTTTCCTGTGGGAATGATACAGAGTTAACTTGGTATATCTAAATTGAAAGCTCTGCAACATAAATGCATGTATAATACAGTATCATTCACACATTAAGTTTTAACGAATTATACATAAATTTTTATATAAATTACAGTAAAATGTTTTTTCTTTTCATAGCAATTTATAGATCGATGAAAATAGCGGTGCAATTTTCTTTTACATAAACTAAACAAGTTTGATTTCATTAAACAGCTCTTTGTATTAACAACACTTTTATTATATAATTAATAAATGTTATTCTGTTTAACAATGCAGTTTTAAGATATTAAGAAAATTCAAGTTAATAATATAGCTCAATTTGTATTAACTACAAATATTGTTTTATTATAAACACGGTACTAATTAAATTATTAGTTCAAATAGGACCAATTGCGCAAATAATTGTGACGTTTAAAAAATGCATGCATTTTAAAATTATGTAACGTATTTTTCTATATGTTCAAATGAAAGCAGGTTGTTACTTTATTTTAATTTAGAAGTATTTGATAAATAATTATACAGTAATAAGGAATTTGTTGCGATACATACAGTGCTGCAAATATTAGCAACTTTCAAGAAGTCCCCATTTTCAAACAATAACAATTTATATGGCGCATTAAAATTTACAATAAGTTTTACAGAATATATTCCCATTTCTATTTATATAAAAAGGACTAGTAAACGGTTACCACTCTTTACAAACTTTCAAATGGAATTTTAATACAACTTTGTATAAAAAATCTTTCAGTATTGGGACTCTGATGCTTGATTTGTATTGAACGTTTCCAAATTTTTTTCCTCAGTTTTTGGTTTAGTTCAAGATAAATCTAGCTAAGTATCAACTCAAGTTGTTCATTGTTCAAGATGGTATCATTTTGTTTTTAGAAAGCATAATGTTTTTATGTTAAGAAATATTTTCTGCTTTTATAACATAAATATGCAGAGTACTGCATTAACTTAGTATTAAACTTCAAATTCATGTCAAATATATAACACCATTTTATTAAAGTTTACAGATACCAAATACATATATTATATGTACCAAATGCTATGTGGCAAAACGTGAATGATAATATAAACAAAGATATTTAATAATGGAATATAGCTCAAAAGTTCTCAGTCTTATGTCTAGTGCCAGCTTTAAGAATCTGTAAGAAATCTTTTGTACATATATAAAAACATTATACTATAGAGTACCCTTGATGATTGAAAAATTGGATACTCAAAAAAAGTCTTCACACATAACACCAGTTTTGAACATTTATATACTTTTAAATTGATCAAAAGATACCACTTTAGTTTTTAATATCGGTATGATGTAGTAAAATATCCAGATGGATGTCCATAAATATATTCATGAGCCACGATTTTAAGAGTTCCATTGGTGGTGTGTGCGCATTATCCTTTTGAAACTGTTTGGCATTTGATGTGTAATCAAGAAATCATTCATTTTTGGATTTTGTTTCATTCTCTTGTTGACTACCTTCATCTTCTTCATCTGAATAATTTGTAGGTACTTGACCAGGTTTCAATAATTTTCCCACAACGTCATATTTTTCTAAAACAAGAAAAATTATGGAAATAATGCAATTATTCTAGTAGCACATGTTCTAATTCCTTATATTATTAGACTGTGTGTAAAACATTGCACTTTGATCTTAAAATATATAAATTAAAATGTAACTTACTTTGACTAATGGTACATATATTAACATTAAAACAATGAAATTTTAAAAACATTTTCTTCAATATTTCAATATATCTTACTTCAATATTACTTGTTGAGACTTTTTTTTTTAAATGCAAATATCATTTTAATAAGAATAGCTAACTACAATGTTCATACTATTCATCCCTGAAAAACCAAAGAAATATATTTGAATAAATAATTGCCTTTAAATTGTTCTTCCCATTCTCTCATAGACTCCATCTGATCACTATCCAAGTCACTTAGATCATCATGTCCCTCTTGTGGTTGCACTGTTGCTGAAAATGTTGCTAAGGCTCTGCTAGCATCTTTGCCACCAAATGTTGAATATGTTCCTTCTGTAACAAAATTAATAAGAAATTTAACAACACGTGTATATTAATGCAATTTTAAACAACTCAGAAACATTTATAGTTTCGTTACATTAACATTTTTAATATACTTCAGGTAATTCAAAAAAAAATTAAAGATTATATACACATTATGCACGGCGGCAGTTATCAACATATTGTTATACTATAACTTTCTTAATTATCACGATCTCGTGATGTTTGCAAATTTATTTTTACTCAAGCCGAGGCTGGTGATAACCGGTAGTCGGTTGGAATCACTTGTAAGCTAATTAAGAACGTTGAGAGTTTAGAAAAGTTAGCGAAAAGTCGTAATTACAAAGTGGTTTTATATCCGACATTGAAATTCTACGAGACGCAAAAATGCTGCAACAATCATGTAAAATGATAACTCATGGGAGTGGTTGATCGCTTACTAGGGCCGTAGAAATGGGCACCGCGAGTACAGTCGTAAACGGTGCCGTTCACAGCAACTAATATTCGTCCATCTGGTCCCGTACCATCGTACTTTTTCAATTCTTCGAGAGTAAAATCACGTCGCAACTTTGGCAGCTTCTTTATTTCTTCTACGGGCTCTTCTATTTTTGTTTTGCTTTTAACAATTTTATAAACCAACATGGCAATTACGCCTACTAAAATGAGATTTATCGGACTCTTTATAATTTCAGCAATGAAACTTGAAAGCAGTTGCTGGCCTTCTTGCCCACTAGAAGTTGAGGTGGAACCCGGCGAGTCATTCTTTTCCGCCATTTTGACCACCAGCTCTCGAGCGATGAAGAATAAGACGATATTTCTTGTTTAATATCGATTAACTTCGTGTTACGGACGTATTAAATGTTTCAAGAAAAATGCAAAATGGTCCCACGAAAAAATGACTTAGTATCTTTTAAATATACCGCTTAAACAATTCGCGTACAATCCCAAACACGTACTGCTTACATACCGGTGCTGGCTACACTGAAACCTACACTGATATGATTATGTGCTTTGACATGCACAACCCCACTACTAAGTTGCATACAGGGAACCGTATAAGTTTTTTATTTGTTTGACGCAATACTAGTCAAAATAATAATATCTATTTATGTAAAAACATAATATTTTGACAATTTAATTTGTATTTTATAAAATCTAATCGTTAAAGAGAATTTGTAATTACAGATACGTAATTTTGGAAATTTTATTATCACTGATATTCAAGTTAAAAGTAGGTTACAAACATTTTAATATTAATCCTGATAATACATTTTATCATACTTCGTGTGAAATTTCTAATACAACACACAAATATAAATTGCATATACGGCACATGCGTGTAAATGCGTCGTATTAAAATTTTGCAAGTGGAAAATTGTGATTTTTTAGATGGATTTTTATTGAATCTTATTCTTTAAAATATCGCTATAATTAATCGATGTAAGAAGAATATAAAATTATTCGTTGTTTTTAATATAAATTAATTAATATATATTTTCAATTTGCCCAAAAAATTGAATTTTACTGTTAGAACAATTTCGAGGTTGTTTTATAAGAATGATAGTTTTCAATAAAATACCTATAAGAATGAAATCCATCAGGAATCACTATTTGCAATCTGTCTTGTTTTAACTAAATCAACATAATCAAGTTAATTTTCTATAGGATTGGGAATATTGCATTAAACTTCATGTTAGAAAAAAAAAAGTATAAAAAGATTTGCTTCGGTCTATTGAGAATCGAATATTACAGAAATTTCAGCATATCATTATTCCGTTCAATTTTTCAAAGTCATGCCATGTTGTCATTTTTCTTGTACATGAATTCGTGTACTTGTGTGCAAGAATCTTGATAAGTTAGGTTTTAATTGAAGTCTACTACGTTAGGTGTCGCTTTTATTTTTTGCTATGTCTTCACCAATGCTTATAAAATTCCTGTACATAAAATTGTTCGTTTACTTGATATTGTATTCGATTCAATGAACTACAATGATGCAGAATTGAATAAAACTCAACAAACAATTCTGTAACTTGTGTTACTAGTAAATTGTATGATATAGATACCACAGTGGTAGGGGAATCGAATCAATCGTAATTGCTTGAGACTAGTTTATTGACGATAATATCTACATACAGTTGATATTTCCATGCATGAGCATTATTTGATTTGTGCACAAGTTTTATAAATACTCTATGAAATTACATAATAAGCTACTTGTACTTGACTGCGTTGTACTCATATTGGACGGCACCGTTTCATAAAGATAATTCAACACTTCTATCTCTTAAACATCTGCTAAGTTATAACTGAAAGTGCTTAAGTTTTCGCCGAAGTTTTTCCTTCTTGAAAATCAAGATACGGACGGATGTTAAGGATCGATGAAACCATGTTAACATCTACTTTTTCCGAACACATTGGACATGTTTCTTCGGATTCAATGATCCTAATACATTAGAAAATACAATAGTTATGTACATTATCTTTAAGATAAGATAATACACATACCTTAAAAATTCACTTCTTATAGCAGGAAAATCACATTGTGGGCATGCTGTAAAATCGTCTTCAAGGATATGACGACCCTAAAAATCATTACGAAGATTAAAACACAATATAATAAATTTCAAAGTAAATAAATATGCTACAAGGAACTAACTGTAGCTATACAGAAAGGTATTGTATTTTTGCATTTATCACAAGTAATTTCTGTTTCTGGGAGTTTACTCTTGCAATATGGACAAGGAGTTAAAGGTTCATCTTCAATTTCACTATCTTTCGATTTCGGCGGCTTTCTTACAATTGCTTCAATTTTTTTACTATACTTGGCATCAATGTGACTTCTATATTCTGGTCGCATTAACATAGCAGCAAAATTAAATGCGGCATATTTCAATCCAGATCTTTGACATTCTATTACAGTAGAAGTCAAAATTGGAACGATATCTAAAATAATATTTCCCTTCAAATATTTTATAGTATTTTTTATACTTCAAACTTTTAAATATTATTTACTAACGTGATGGAAATTTCGAGATATCACTGGCTACTCTTATTAACATACGAGCACCGCGTAAATGATCATTCTTCTTTACATGAAGCCTAACAAGAATATACGAATGTAAAAGTCTTAAGTTATTTTGCATCTCTAAAGGTATATTGATCTTATTCCTTTTTAATTCTTGGTACATGGCAAACAGAACATCATGAGCATTTCTATAATTTCCTGCAAAGTAATTTACTGCGTATTACAAATGACATCTTAAAATTAGAGAGATAAGTATTATAAAATATACCATTTATTTGTTCTTCATTTGCAATTATGATTGCCGTTTTTGCGGCTTCTTTGTACTGCTTTCTGGCCATGTACAAGCGGAATAGATATTTCGGATCCTGTATAAAATATAAATATCTCTGGATCAAATGAATATATCGCAGCATATTGCCAATAAAGATACTATTACCTTTGGTAATCCATCCCCACCCAATAAGAAATCTATCAGTTGATTTGCTAACTTGTCCTCTTTTGAAGAAGCAACTGTATCAATGGCCAATGAAAGGACTTCATTTTCGTCTGATACTAATTGTGCAGCTTTTAATAAATGTCGTAATGCTTTTTGATACTCTTTAGCATGGAAGTAATATTTTCCTGCCAAAAAATTATTTTTCTGATTTTCGAAATGCATTGCAAGACTTTGGAAGTCTTCTTTTCGTGCATTGCTGTCATCAATTGTATTTATTAAGATTTCCCCATACAATTCCATTTTTCCATGCTGATTAGCCAGTTGGAAAGCTTCTTCATGACAATTCGATAAAATTAAGAATTTGATTGCTGAATTATAATCATTCATTTTCTGAAAGTATTTTGCAACCATTTTAGCTCCTTCTATACTTTTAGTTTGTTGTACCACTTCGACGCTTCGTGCTATAATTATAAAAAGGTATTTTTCAGATGACATTTAATGTTCTACATACGATGTGTGAATAATAATTATATTACCAGGATTGTTTAAATATTCTAGATTAATTCTAATTATGTTTTCAAAATCTTTTGCAGTCTCATATGCTTTTGCTGCTTCCTCGTATTTGCCTTCGATTTCTTTAGCTTTGGCATATTGTATGTTGATTTTAGCAGATGATATTTGTGGTAAAAGTTGGCCCACTTTCTGCCAATTTTTCAGTTTTATATAAGCGGACGCTGCTTTATCAAAATATTCAGCTTTTTCGTATAGTAACGCAGCTTCATTAAATTGCTATAACAGTAGTCAAATTGATATATCTACGAAGCATATGTATGCGATAACACATACCTTCATTGATTCTAATATTTCTGCACACTCTTTTCGTAACTGTCTTGAACTTTCATTATCTACAGCTATGCTCACGCCCCTTCTACTATCACCACATCTGATAGACATTCTCGCAATACCAGCAAGACAAAGATTTCGGTGATGCGGATTTTGTATATTTGAGTTAGATGCGTTATTTGAATTCATCAATCCGCGTTCGTAGTTTGTCAAAGCTTTGGGATAATTACCTCTAGAAAAAGAACATGCAATTGAATATGTACTTATCACAAATAACTTGCACATTCAATTTTGTTTTCTTACGTAAATTCTAATTGTTGGGCATATTCTCTAGCAATGTAAGGAATTTCATCAGCCTTTAATTTTTGTGCCAAATTCAATGCTTGTTCCCACTGCATTAAATCTCTTCTTAAATACAACGCTTGTACGGGTTCACATGATTGTAAAAAAAATGTTTCTGCCTGATTGTAATCACCGAGTAAAATACATGCATGTCCACATAACAGTGACAAGTCATCCATATTTTCCATGTTTTGCAATGCCCAAACCATAGAAGCATCTTCTAAGTGTCGATAGATTCGAATTGCTGCGGTAGTAAGTAATTATTTAGAAATAAAATATTTTTACAATTTATATATTTTTTTGTAGTAATAATAACATTGAAATCTACCAATGTCAATATTTAAATTTGCAATCGCGCTCTCTCCTAATTTTAACCACGATTCTTTGTCGTTAATTTTTTCGCACGTGTTCCATGCTTGTTGAAATCTGAAATAGAAAGAATGTGTATCTTATATTTAACAATTAAATATTAATTAAAGCGTGTACCTTCTGCAAAGAATTTGATTTTGTAATACTTCTTTTAATTTTGTAGTTTCCACGATATTTCCTATATCTTCGTGAGAGGATAATGTAATTTGAATTAATTTTTTACTTATTGTACCTAATGTCAACTCCCCAGAATAGATCAACAATGGTAATGTTTCAGATGGCAATTTTGTTGTATTAATTTTTACAATTTTTGTACCTGAATCGAAAATATTTGATATATATGTTTTACTTCCATTGTATTATTTTAAATTTTTTACTTACCTTCAATAAAATATTTTACAAATATATATGTAGTAATGATAGTTTTATTGTACACAGCGAATATATTTCGCTCCAAAATATTTTGATCCCAAATTACACCTTCAATGCAGTCCGGGCAATCGAGAATTTGCACGACAGTTTCGTGCACAGGATTATAAATATAAGCGTCAAACTTATTGTCTATGAAACACAACTGTGTTCCATTTGCATCTAAATAGATGTCCTTTATACCGTTATTGTGTACATGTTCTGTACTCTGATTAAACACTTCTAGGCAAAAATAGATTATGTGGCCCATCTAAATACATTATAAACGTAAGTTAATCTTTCTTGTACATATTTGGGTGTCCACATATGTGGGTAAATAACTTACATCACTGCTATAGATCAAAAAATCTGCAGTAAGAGCATGGCACGTTATTTTAAAGTCTGCAGCACTTAAGTCTGGAAACATTTTTGTATCTTTTTCTTTCTTTGTTAATGTTTGATCCGTTTTAATCTACAAGTATAACATGTTAATACATATTCAACTCCGTAGTATATTTTAATGTAAATTTGTATTCATTTTAATATACTTGTTACCGAGTGCAACTGTAATTTGCCATCAAATAAAACAGATACATAAGTTTCATTCAATCGTATACTATCTATTGTCGCCAGATAATCCCTTTCGAAGTGTACTGTAGTATTATAGCGAGATTCAGATATGTCCCAGAACAATGCTCTGTTATTTAATCCGACTGCTGCATGCATGGGACCTATTGCTAATACCGACGGTTCTATTATAGTGTTAATTATTATTGGTTCTGGCTTCTCCTGAAAAATAATTTTAATTATTTATACGTAGTTTTATATTGTTAACATTTTCTTTTACAGTTGCGGTTCCTACCTTATCTAATGTATAAAGATAGACTGCTACTTCTGTTAAACTAGTAAGTAGCGCAATTCTATTTCCGCAAACGCTAAATAATTTTGGAATTTGTATTAAATAGACTAAAACATTGCCACTGTAAGTCACAGCTGCTATCATTGTACCATCCATCGACCATTCTACTGTTTTAATCCCAGTTTCACCGCTTATTGTAATTAATTTTTCAGTTTCTTCTAAATTTTGCAGATTATGTATTTTTATAGTATTATCTCCACATGTAGCAATTTTTCCTATTACTTGGCTTATTGCTAAGTCAGTCAAAGAATCTTTATGATTTTTAATTTGAAATAATTCTTGTCCAACTTCTTTAATATGTGTAGATATTGCGGTAAAATATCCAGTTTCAAAACCAACTAAGATATATCCATCTCCATACCTAAAATTTTGTATGCAGTAAAGACAAAAAATATTACATTTAAATTATTCCATAATGTACGACCTCACCATTTATAAGTAACAATAGGGCCATAACGTTTTTGGAAAGCTAACTCAATAGGGTTTTCTGGATCCAAGATATTATACAGAAATAAAGTAGTTTTACTAATAATAAGAGATACCTAGAAAACGATAAAAAAAATTAATATCTTATATAAATTCATGTAACTGTATTTTATTAGTGAATATTTGACAAAGAAATCATACTGTATTTTCACCCCCAACTCTGTGATCCATTTTCATCTCATTAAACTGAATATCAGATGCATCACCTTGAAGTGGTATCTCACGTCTAGTATCTCCATCACTTGTACTAATTGTTAAAACTTTGTCTTCACTGGCTAAAGCAAGGAGACCCTCATAAGACCATGCACCACAAGTTATCCGTTTTTTATGTTTTCCCAGAATTGGTATTCGCCTGTATGTTAATTCATGACTCAATATACTTTTATACAATGTTATAAAAAAGTTCCATATTAAAAAATAGTAATACCATACTTGGCATTTATATGATCATAAAGTACTAAATTTCCTTTCTGGGTTCCTATTGCTAATAAGCAAGTTCTTTTTGCCCATATCATACATGTCAACCCATCTCTTACACCAGCATCTATTTGTGACTTTTTTCCAGTTGTTGCATCCCATAATGTGATAGAAGAGGAATTTTGTGATATAATGGCCAATAGGTCTCCATCAGAATCCCATCCAAAACCACTGCATAAACCAGCAATTTGAATACGTTCTTGTAAGTCACCTTGTCTGTCAAAAATAGCAACTGAGGAATCATAACCAGTAGTTGCTAAATGTGTGCTATTACCAGGGCGCCATGATATAAACACAGTACCAGAACCATGAGGTTGATACAATTGATAAAGAACCTGTATCAAATAATTTGACAGTTAAACATAGGTATAAGCAAAATGAAAATTGTTGCTCTCTCGTTCATTTTGAACAGACAAGTATGTTCGAACTGTTTAAGTAATAATAATTCTACGCGTTCTTCGTTATAATTTAACAACTAAGTAAAAAGATTGAATTTTTTGTGAGGACTCTATAAATATGTAACCTACCTTTTCAGTCGACATTTTTCGAAATCAAACTTTTCTGACGATGCAACCAGTAAGGCGAATCGCCTAATTGTATTTACAAATGTTATAAGGGCGCATAGTGAAAAATATTATTTACTAAATGATCTTTTTCATAAGTAGCGTTATATTCCTTTTATTCGCCATGTTGTTTATGTTTAGACAGGCCTCGATCAATTTCAAATTGTGTTCATGATTGTTGCCATGGATAACGATAGGTAGCGCTGTATCTTATACTTTTTTTTCGTAATTAAAATGACGCGCAGTTTATTTTACGTTTTTCTTTTCTACGTAAATTGGTAAATAAGGAAAAGAAATGGTTGAAAAAACGATTAAACAGGCGACAAGTAAGGATCATTAAAGTATGCTGTAACTATTTGAACATGATCGATTATTATTTATCGTCGAAAAATTGCACGTATCTTGCAACTCGTAATACAGTAATTATAGTACAAAAGGTACTAACGGTATTCGCAGGATAACTAAGATTAAAGAGAAAAATGTATCGAATATGGATGAATGACTAAAACAGATGTAGCAAGACAGGTTCCAGTGGAAAGCGCATTTAAAGTTCAGTCTGAGTTGCGTTCTTTCACGATCGAAATGACAATGACGTATGTACCATCCTTGCATCGACAAACGTATAGTGTATATGTATGTACATGCCTCTGAGTATGTACGAGTACTGCATGTAATTAATACTTTACCGGTAGGATCCACAGAAACATTATGCGTCGATGGTGACATTATGGAAAGCTTGAGAATTTCAGGCTTACTCGTTTTTTTAATAAATAAAATAGAAAATGTTGCAATATATATTCGTTGTATCTGGATAACAACAATTTTATTCGGCTATCCAGCTTGTTGCTTTTATAAATTCATTTAGTTTCTTTCAATATCATTTTAAAACCTCTATGTACCTCGTCACCATAAATGGTGCGTGCATACTGTCTTCATTCAGGAAGAAATAATTATGCAAGTGCAGCTACGCGTAACTTTTCATTTTTTTTTTTTTTTGTTTTTTTTTTTTTTTATTTTGGAATAAGCTACCAGAACGTACTACCGTCTCGTATAACGAGGTAAAAGCTTGTTCAGCAACAAATTCTAAAGACACAGATAAATCGCACAATATATCCTTCGAATATGTAATCTCGCACGAGCTCGAAGCATTTTAAACTGTATAGTAATCACATGTTCTCAAACAGTTCGATAAAGCGACTTGGAACAGATAGATTGAAAAGTATACAACATCACGGAGAGCGCATACGCGTTATTTGTCCAGAAGTGAGTGCAGTGTCAACTCTTCCATAAATTTCGATATATTATACACTATTATAATTAGTTTTGGCAGGAATGTCGTAACTTTTGAGTCATCCTAAAATTTCTCGCGGTTTTCGATCGTTTACTTTGCAGAAAAAAAAAAGGAAACTCCGCTGAAACGTAATATCTCTCTTCCTTCTTTCGTGCGATAATATTGAATTTCAGCGGGGTTATGTTCTTCGAGAAAGAAAAAAAAAAAATGGCGCGAACGATTGGAAAACTTGGGAAACTTTTTAGGATGATCCAAGAAATAGGATGTACCATTTTCACTACGTACTGTGTGCAGCGACACAGTAAACTCAACGTATATCTTTCAACTTTTCTTTTTTTTTTATGCATCTGTTTTCAACAAAGTTTGCGCGAACACGTGCACGAAGAAATCAGTGTAGCCGGCAATGCCATTCGTTCAAGATCGCAAACAAAGATAAAATTCTATTCTGAAACGGTTTATTATTACACGAGCCGTTGTAATGCGTACAATATTGCTTTACTGACCCGAATCAACCAGTCGATCAAGTTTCTTTTTTTTCTTTTCTAAACGATATACACGCATCAGCGATCTTTCGTTTTCGTTTTTTTTTTTCACCGATCGAAAACAAACAATAAAATATTTAAGGAACATTTAATACTTATCTTTATATGCATTATTTTTTTTGTTTCCTTCGACTCGAAAACTTGTTTCATTTATGCTTCCAACAAGCATGCGCTGACTTAATATCATACTTCACTGTTTGTATATGAATATGATTTAACTTGAAAAGGCATAGAAACAATAATTAGGAAGGACGTTGCTTTCATGGATATCGTCTTAGAGCTATCGCGGTGTGTGATCATAAAAGTGATGATAATAATCGTTCCATCGTTATAGATATTCAATACGTAGCAATGTTGTTCCGTATATATGTACAAGTATGTATCAGTGTCACCGAGAGTCGCGAGATCATATATTTTTCGTCGTTTCTTTTTAATGCCGATCAGTTATATACTATATACAAAGATAAATCAACGCGGGTTGCTCTTCGTTTCGAGCAAAAGGATCAAGTATTATTTTTTTTTTGATTTTTCCTCGCGACAGCGAAATTATGTAACTAGAACAAGGATTATCGTGTGATTTTCTTCACCGTGAATAAACATTTTCTCATTCTCTCTCTCTCTCTCTCGCTCTCTCTCCCCCCCTCCCTCTCCCTCGCTCGCTTTTTTTCTCTTTTCTTTTCTTTTTTTTTTTTTTTCATGTGAAGGGAAAACAGATCGTGAAAGCTGCGATGATATCTCGCGGCTCCCAGGAGGCTGGTGTCTCGAATGGAAGGAATACGATCTATCTTACAAGCTGAATAATGTTGGTGCGTTAACGTAGTACAGTGCGGCCCTATTAACGCGATTACGAGCTTAGAGATAAATTCATACTCGTCGTAATGCTATTACTCATTATTACAAACTAGAAACAATCTCTAATGACTTTGTGAGTAGAACTTTGCAATTAGGCTCTTGAGCAGTGTCTAAAACACGAGAGAAACGTAATCGAACTGAACCACGCACGCGCACGCGCGCTTTACTAACTAACTCACTGTTCTCCGGCATCTTCGATTCCTTCTTCTTCTTCTTCTTCATCTTCCGTTCTTTTTCTTTTCATATTTATGCATCGATGCCCTCTCGATAATTGCTACCGATACTAGAAAAGTACCGAACGAGAGTTTCGGTCAGCCGCACCTGGTCCGTGTTTTAAACACGATTTTGGTATTCCGATGCATTTTAAGTTCCTCGAAAATGCCTTCTTTTATATCTATCAGTTTTTCGTGGTGGAATGAGAGAAGTTGATGGCGTTTGTTTGTTTTCTTTAAGGGTAAAGGTCGTTTACATGTAAAAGTATTAAACACGCGTCGTACGTTCGATAGAAACATGAAAAACAAACCGATATACGCTACACATTCATTCTCTACAGTTTCATACACACAGAGACACGCGTGTGCATTGCACAGAACTATTCTTCTCTCTTTTTTCTTTTTTTCTTTTTTGCACTCTTATTCTCTTTCTCTCATCCTTCTAATTACGAGCTACAGAGTACGGCTTGTGGATCCTTTTATTTTTCCCTCGTTCACCCCTTAGGCCATTCCACGAGACGGCTACGGGAGGAGTTCGACGCTCACGGACGCAGGCAAACCGCTCCGCAAATAGAAAGCATCGCACGCACGCCTTTTCTTCCTCTCTTTTTTTCCTTTTTCTTTAATTCTAACGTTATCTGCGATTCGTACACGATCTGTATTCTAGGGTTTTACGGTAAAAATTCACTGAATATCCTGTCTGTGTATGGATAGTTGTGTGATTAGAGACGACGCGCGCATTCGTTCCTTACAAAACTCCCCGACTGGAACGTTTAATCGGTGAAAAAATTTATTGCAAAAAATCGCGTATGTATTTCTTTTCTTTTCTTTTTTCATCATTCAACGATCGAGCGAGTTTCCGCATAGAAATCGTTTCCTACAACAGGAGAAAATGGTGTCCGGATCACGCGCGACGCTGTGCGTCTTTACGTAAACACAATTACTCTCGGATGGAGAAAGGTTAATATGGAAAGATTAAATTGACTCTGGCAAATCGTGATCCACGATCACGCGACTCGAAACCGTCTCTGTTCATCAGCGATCATTCACCAAACGATCCTTCTCTCCTACTCTTCCTCCTCCTCCTCCTCCTCTTCACTGGTTATGCAACCGTCCGCCGGAAGCCTTCACTTGATTGTTGGTAACTTTCGGTATCGCCCCGATTATCTTCACGCGATTCTGCTGTTGTTGCTGCTGCTGCTGTTGCTTGTTGTCGCTAAACTGAGGCGGCGGAGCGAACACCAACTCGTCTCCGTTCCCTGCTGATGGTCCAGCGTTGAATTCAGGCGGTGGTGGTACGTACAAGTCGCTACTCTGCTCTTCAGCGTCCGCTTCTATCGGCGGCGGTAGCTGAGCTAGACTAACCGCGTGTCTCGTTAACAATCCACTGCCTCCGTAACTGGTTCTCTTAGGATTCACCTCTTTCTCACCGCTGCTGACTGACAATACGGTAGTCGGATGTTGGCTGGCTTCGTTCGCCAAATTTCTCGCTGCTGTGTCGTCGAAACCCGTCGGTGGACCTACCGGAACATCCTGATCGGAGCTAACTCCACTCGAGCTGTTGTCACCGTCCTCGGCGAGAGACTGTTGGGTCTGTTGCAGTAGAAAGTCGTTCGGATGGCTCTTCGAAGACTTCAACTGCGTCCTCACCTTTTGGATCTCTTCGACGCTGAAGGAATGCGGCAACGAACTACTACCGGACGAACTCGAACCAGAAGTGTTCGAGTTACCCGACGTTTCTCTGGTTGATTCTAACTTCTCTCTTGCAGCCGCTTTCTCGAGCTCTTTCGCGATCTCTGACTCTACATCGTCGTCCGTTTCCTCCTCACCCTCGTCGTTCTCCGACTCGGACAGACTGTAATCCGGCTCTGGTATCGGCGGAGCTGTGTTCGTTACCGTGTTTCCGCTGTTGTTATTCGCCACGGACGAAAGATTCGTGATGGAGGAACTGGTACTGATACCCTTCTTCTTCCTCTCTCTGATACCAACCGTGCTGTGACTTCTGTTCGTTTTCAGAGGCTGCGCGTACTGGTTGTTCGCCGACTGATTATTGTTCACCTGGTTGTTGTTGCTCACCGTGTTGTTCACGTTCTGTTGGTTGTTCAACGGTTTGAACGTGGTGTTGTTAGTTGTACGCAAGCTGTGCGACTTTCTAACGTGACAGCGAGTGGTATGGGCTGGCAAACTGCGTGAACGGTATCCTACAGTCTTCATATCTTCCGGTGAGGCGTATAACTTGGCGCTGTTCGATGGTCGGAAGCTCGACATGACTCCGTAGCCTCCTTCTGCTGTCACGGCCGCCAATTCTACGTCGAAATGGAAAGAAGAAATCATGGTTACTCTCGTTCGTGGAGCAAGCTTAAACGGCAGTCGTGATAGGAGCTAGTTGTATAGAAACGTTTGATAAATTTATCGCGATAGGTCGTAAAATTTGTAAATATCCCGACGATATACGGTACCTTTGACTTGCTGTATATGAGCCATATTATCGTATACAGAAGCCGGTGTAACTACGTCCGGCACGTTCGCGCCCACGTTTACTTTGACGACTTGCCCGACCGGTGGCGGAGGCGGCGGATGGTTCGGCGGTGGAAGCCCGTTTCTGCCGTTCAACGCGTTCACGTCCTCCTGGCTTCTGTGCCCTTTCGGTGCTAAAATAGACGACTGCACCTGCACGTTCAAGTCCGGCGTACTGTGGAAGTCCCGATGAAGATCGGAACCGCCGCCCAATCCGCCGAAGAATCGCACTCTTGAGCTCGACTGTGAACAGATTTCGATTTACTCATTGGGACACGTTGCACGAGAGTGAAGAATCGTGATCGAACAGCGTTCACAAACACACAACAACAGGCGGACGCATATACATAGCTTGCACCTACTGTCGCAAAAGTTCTCGGTGAAATTCGACGAATCGCGTTTATCAAGCTGTGTTTATTCATCGATCGTCTTTTCTTTTCTTCGAAATTATTTTCTAGGTGTATGATAAAAACCAGCATCGACGGTTTCGCGAAGATTCAAGATCCGCCGGATAAACCAGTTGGATATACATATATCATTTAAGCGTGTAAGGTACGCGATTATGCATGGTGGAGGGAAGGGGTTTGGTGGGTGGTTGGGAGGGAGGGAAACCGCACGGTCATGCAAAAAGTGAAAGCCAAGTAATTAAAATGTTCGTTTCATGGATACACATGGTTAGATCTGCGAGGCGTGTTCATAAAAGCTGAAGGTGATATCCGATGCCCTTTCGAGCATCGGATTTTCATTAGCAAATGGCTTAGTCACCTGGAATCATGCAAGTCACGGACGCGCTAGAAACAAAGTATTTTCGATCAGTAATATAAGTCGTCCTCGTTGTCTCTCTCGTACCAGGAACGCCCCTTTCCGTACACTCGTGCTGGCTTGCGAGAAAACTATAACACACATGCGTAAAAACAGCCACCATTACCCCCCGGGGAAAGAGCATGCATCGAGGAGCTTTTCAGCCTCTCTGAAAAAGTCTTTGAAACTTCTTGCGTCGAACGAGAATATCGATAAACGGTTAAACAAAGAACGGGGGAGGAGATGTGGGGTGGGCAGCGGCTAATTAAACGCGGGGATGAGAGAACTTCTACCAAACGGGTCACGAACAACGATACACAAGGGCTCTACGGTAATGACAAACAATTATACCCAACAAGTTACTCTATTGCGGGAGTTAGTGTGTTAGATTAGTCGTTTAAAGTAACAGAGTCTATTCCAAAGATTTCTCTTTCTTTTTTCTTTTTCGCAGATGAAATCCTTAGAAAAGACAGAGTTCGGCGTATCCGCATAAATGGCTACCAGCTATCAGCAACACCGCAAAAGTGTCTACAGTTTGACCGGTGGAAATATGAGGACGCCGACAGAGAACGATAAAACCACCAGCTACAGAGGCAGACGAAAATGTGAGAGTAATACGAATGAACCTCGAAGGGGGAAGTGTTTCCTTACTTTGCCTTTGCGTTTCATTTCCGCTACGCTCGCGTATACCCTGCCGGTCTTTGCAGGCGAGGAAGGATGCGACTTGGTAGCTTGACCAGTTTGAAAATGAGAGCTCATCATGGACGAGCTGTACTGACCACTGGTACTACCTTGCTGCCGCTGAAATAGTTCCTGGAAGAAAGGAAGGACAAAGCTTGAAGCCTCAGTTTTCAGTTCGTGCAGCAGAGTGCCATTCAAGGAGAACAAGAAGAAGCGGATCGTTGGTGATCGAGCAACGGTATATCATAGTCGGGGCGTGGTTCTCATATCTACCTCCAGTTCCGCGGCAGTGATCCTACTGGAGGTTGGTCTCGATCGAATACTGGCCGTTCTCGGCTGTACTGGCGTGTTTTGTCCTGTATTAGGTCCTGTAGACGGTTGCTGAGGAAGGTGAATCGATTCAGCGCTACTCGATTTCGCTCCTGTCGACGTTATCTCGTCGCGATCGTCTCGTTCTCCACCACCTTCTACTTATCACGAAGAAACGATTACAAATATTTCATTTCTTTCTCATTTTTGATTCGACGATCAGCCGATATCGCGTGTCGATTTCATTGCAATTTACCTAATCCAGCGACCATAGATCTTGCTCTCGCCCTACCGACGCTCAGCGTGGTCTTAGGATCCCTTCGAGGTGGCATAGGAGCTGGCGATCTACCAAGCGTGCCTCCAATCACCACGTTTGTGTTACCTTTGCGCGGAAGGGTCGCGTACTGTCTTTGAACGGGTTGACTAGTTGGCAGCAGAGCTGCGGACTGCGAATTCGGAAGGCTGATCATCGGTGAGACCACCGTCATCCTGACCAACTCCCCGGATTTCCGGATCAAGTCGACTACGTGCTCGTGGGACGCGGTTGTTACGTCCTCGCCGTTGATCTACGAACAAGAGAGAAGAGATCGAAGAAGCGTTCGAGGAAATGGAAGATCAGAGGTGGAGGAAGGTAAAAGAAGAAGACTTTTACTTGGATAAGGAAATCCCCTTTTCTGAGACCAGCCAGATCGGCCACGCCTCCTTGATCGACGTCGTCCAGGTACTGCAAGGCGGGATACCTGGCCGACGGCGTCAACTCCATGAGAGGCGAGGTAGCCTTGGCACCTCGTAACACGAAGCCGAAACCTTTTCTCGATCGGTGCAGTACCACTGTACGAGGTTCAGACGTTACTCTGAGGATCATTAAATTGAATAACGGTTACCTCTGGTCTGTGTGTATACGCTGGATCGTTTTCCGTTATTATACTCAAGGCTACGACGTGTTCTAGAGGAAATGATATTAACCGACGCAACCTCTGTCGTTAAAAATCTCTCCTCTAACTGGTTCTCTAACAGTTATTACCGTTCAAGGCTTTCGGGTATAATCTGTGTCCACGTGGAATTATTTTTCCAATTAACTTGGACAGTTCGGCTTACACCCGAAAGCCTCAGCCGCGAAAGCTTGAAATCTCTGATTTGGTTCTCTAACGTTCCACGAACAATTCAGAAGACACTCGACAAGGAGGAGACTCACGGTTTCTTCAATCTGGGAGCTGTAGCGAAATACTTGTGCTGCGATTCTCTGCGACCCAACACTCTGTTCCGGCCATCCCTGGTAGGCTGTGGGCCCAACGGGATGTTCGTGTGGCGGAGCCTGACTTCTTGCACGCAGTGCGCCGGAAACAGACCTGTGCCCTGTCCTCGAAGCACACCCTCGAGAAGGCCGCAGTCGGTCGCTCCGGTGACTGTTAAAAAATAAAGAAACAAAAAGAAAACACACCCTTTGCCATCAGTGAATACTTAATACTCGAAGACTCCCTACAAAACAGAAATTCAAACGAGCGTTTTTGCCCATTATGTTGTTCGGGATTTATCAGCGATTAAACGCAGTACCTTCCAGGATGTCCCCTTGATTGATGTTCAAATGGCCGAGGATCCCGCTGTTGTAGCTCTCCACGCAGACAACCGTGGTGCCAGGGATCGACAGGGAGTTGGTCGTGTCCGACTGGGATGTTCCAACGCCGGAACTGTCGCTAATCACGTCAGAGGCTGTGTCACCGAGACTCTTGTCTAGAAAATTCGCCGAACAAGGATGATCCTTGAGCAAACGCTGTTTTCCATGTGTGAGCATCGTTCGAATCTTAGAGCGATGAACGTCATGCAACGCTAGATTCTTAACGTAGTTAAGGAGGCGCTCTAGCTATATAGTGAGAGAGAGAGAGAGAGAGAGAGAGCTCGTGAGGAAAAAACGTCTATAGGTTAGGCTGCTGATGTTACATCCGCTAAGAAATACATAGAGCTTTCTATCTCGTGTGTGTGTTTGTGTGTGTTGTTGTTGTTTCGTCATCGTCCCGGAGAAGAAGAAAACGTGATCGAAATGGACAGGCGGCAAAAGTCAGAGAGAGAGTGCTGCTGCCGTGGCCCATGTGCTCGCGTATACCATTTTGTGATGGTGATGGTTCGAGAGGACGTTCGAGTCACGCCAAATATAATTAAACAAACTAAAGAAATACACCTGTGTTGTGTGTGTCTCTCTCGATCCGTGTTCGCCTCGCGAGACACGCGATCGTGTCCCAAAAACGCATACAACGGAGAATCAGATCGAATCGGGGGGACGATCTCTTCGAACGGTGAAGAAGGAAGATCCTTATTTCACGTGAATCTTCTCTCGCCTATTTTTCGCCGTCGTTTCTCCTCCCTCCCCCATTTTTCTCTCTCTGTCGCCACGCGACAGAGGGTGGTGTTAAGTAGCCGAGGAAAATAAACCAGTGTTTATGTGTATACCTGTGACGATGCTGGCGGAATCTTCGCCGGACGGTTGATTGCTGCCTTCGGATAGGCTCGAGCTCGCCGAGCTGAAAGGAGCTAGACTCCTGCTGCTCGGCGACGGCGACGGCGGCATCTCCATCGTTCTGTGCATGTCGAGACGGTGCTGAAGCTCGAGCCGGTGTTCTTGCAGCCTCGTCAGCCCCTCCATTCTTACGTTCTGATAGTTCTCCGCGTTGGCTGGTGGTAATCTTGAAATGGAGCGGAACTCGTATAGTGGCGTCGAACGTTTCGACTAAATCTCACGAGATTAGCGTAAATTGTCTTTGCTTCACGCTTGTCTGTCCCTTGAATCTCCCTTGCCCACGCGGCTCGTTCGCGAAATCGTAGATGGAAGTCCAGGAACAACCGTACACGCAAGAAGAGACCACGAAGGAAGGTGAAATCGAGTGAGAGATATCGACCGCGTAGAATGGAGAACGGAGTAGAGGGGAAAGTTGGACGATTTCGAGAAGTGCCCAAATTGCAAAGAGGGATCTCGCAAAGACAGTTTATGCTTACCTCGCGTTAGGATCCCTCAGTGAATTGGGGCTCTGGTAGTCCGACGGTGTAATCCGCTGATGACCGTTCTGCTCGGTGGATCTGGCGTGCTGCTCGGACGGTATTCTCTGTAGCTCTGTTCTGCTCGGTTCGATGGACGGTACTCTGGCGAGGTTGGCGTGTGACGGATGATTCTCCGTCGTCCTCGCGATACACTGCTCCGTGGACAATGTTCTGTTCGCGTACTGCTCAGTGGACGGTACTCTGGTGAGCGTACCGGTTGGATATTGCTCGGTGGACGGTACTCTGGTCAGTGTACCACTGCTCGAAGAGTATTGCTCTCCTGTGGATACCCTGGTGGTTACGGTGGTACCGCTCGCGGTCACAATTGGGCTGGCGTATTGCTCTCCGGACGGTGCTACTCGGTTCAGCGTACCCGTAGATGGATACTGATGTTCCGTGGACGGTACTCTGTTGGTCAGGTTGCCACCAGTGGCGTATTGCTCCGCGGACGGTACTCTCGTCACCGAGTTGATGCTCGACGTGTACTGCTCCACAGAGATTGTTCTGGTCAGGGTACCACAAGCTCCAGAGCTGCTGCTTCCAGAGCCAGAACCACCGTGTTGTTGTTCCGCGGACGGTATCCTGGTCAGGGTGCCCAAGTTACTGGCCGAACAGCTCGTGGTCATCGTCGACGTGCCGGCGAACGCCACCGAGCGTCGTTTAGGGTTGTAGCGTGGCGGCCCTTTAAACGGTACTGGAAAATCGAGGGTTGCAAGGTTAAGTAAAGAAAGGATTACTTAGCCTTACAAGATAGGCTCCGTAGGGGTACTCTCTCATCTTTCATCTTCCTTGGAGCGACCGTCTTTCTTTCTTTCTCATCTCCCGAGATCGTCTCACGATCGAGGCTTAGACGTGTGTGCGTATATTAGACGATTTCTCCAATTTACTTAACTTTTTTTTTTCAACGAGGTGCTCTCGGGGTGTTCGTCGAGCGTGCTTATTACTTTTCGGCCACGATGCAGATACGCATCGTGGTTAGGTGCTTTTCTTTAACGGAATAGTGTGAGCAACATTCGACGTTTTACCTTCAAGCCAACTTACAAGCACACACACGCACGCACTCACAAAGTGTTACTCTCACGGCGGATCACGTCGCGTGTTAATACCAGATGCGTTGGAAGGAACAACGACGATCGAATACGATTTTTCTTTTTTTTTTTTTTCTGGATTTTGGTTAGTCTCTTCTATACAAAAGAAAGCGGTGAGAAGCACACGCAAAAGTCACACGCATTCGACACGCGACTGCTTGTATCTGTTTTGTACGATACAATGTGTGCCCAGGGTTACAGGGTGCCACTTCGTTATACTTCCGGTTTGGACACACTGTGCATGTGCACCGGCGATCTCGAAGTCTCACCGTCGTTGGGCCGCCGGATTTTCCTCGCAAGTTAGTCAAATTCAAACGAGCTTTTCGTCCTACTCCCCTTTTCTCAACACCACTGAAAATTCCAGTGGCCCACGACGGCACACGTAAACTCACAAAAGTACGTCGAAACTACCAAACAGTACTAAATCAACTTCTTCCAGCCACCTCGATGCTCACGGATTCTTTGTTTTTATCGTATCTCGCGTTCGATCTTCGATCGTTTATTTTCAGCCTGACCTCAGAAACGAATTCGTCAAGATAAATCCAAGAGCAGCGAGGTCGCTCGACGACGATCAAAAAAGATACGGCTTCGTTAGTAGGTACTCAAAAGCAATCAAATGTTCTGTCCTTACGTTTCGTTATATATATATACGTATGTGTGTATAGGTAAATAAATCGTTACAAAGATACTCGACGTCTTACAAGACCATCACCACCAAAAATACTCCCACCAGACTTTTACAATTTCATGTACTTTTTTTCTTCGTTACAGAGCACAGACACAGATACACGCACAATTCTCATATAAGTACGTAAATATATATATATATTTACACCAATCAGCTAAGTTCTAATCTACTCTTCGCACTACGCTACGAGATGGCAAGCGCATAAGAAGCGTGTTTGTTCTTGGACACAATAGAGAAAGGAAAAGAAAAAGAAAAGAAGATTGAAGCTCTACGTACATGCACATGCCAGGCGGTAAATTTATAACGTGCTATACAAAAGATCCTCCAGCGAGCGATCGATCGAAGAGCGCGTTCATCAGACAAACCGCGC